GCTCTTGTAGACCAGGCTGGTCTCGAACTCACAGAGATCCGCCTGCCTCTGCCTCCTGAGTGCTGGGATTAAAGGCGTGCGCCACCACTGCCCGGCTTTTATGTCCTCTTTCATGGCCATGTCTCTTACCTGTGTTCTGTCCTTCCTCCTCCTCCAACATTACCCTTCTCTTCTCTTTTATGTCCTCTTTCATGGCCATGTCTCTTACCTGTGTTCTGTCCTTCCTCCTCCTCTAACATTACCCTTCTCTTCTCTTTCCTTGTGCTACGCTGTACTCAAATGTACATTTGTTTACATATGGTTTTGGTAGAGTCCACGTAGGAGGAAAAATGTAGCTTTTTAACCCTGAATGGGGGTATTTCATATCAAAACACAATAGATACAGCTTTTAGCTGTGTCGTATGATATATAGACGCCGAGCTTACTCATATCCAGTTCTAACGTTACCCCTCATCTTCACTGCCTCTGAGTAGGAAAGTGAGCCTCGTTCTGAGTCCCATGACTAGAACCTGGACCCAACCAGCTGCATTTTCTTGGTCCTAGGGTCTCTACTGTTTTTTTTTTTTCCTCTGCCAGTCAAAGATTTAAAAGGCAAGAAAAAGTCTTGAGTGCGACAGACGGCAGCAGGGAAATTCCTGAATACAGCAGACAGCGTCAGCTGGTGAGAAAGAGCTACTATCAGAGGTGAGGAAATGCACACACACACACACGTGCACAGAGACCTCTGCACACACACACACACACACAAGTGCACAGAGACCTCTGCACACACACACACAAGTGCACAGAGACCTCTGCACACACACACACAAGTGCACAGAGACCTCTGCACACACACACACAAGTGCACAGAGACCTCTACACACACAGCAGGCACACAGAGATCCTATGCACACACATCAAGCACACAGAGACCTCTGCACACACAGCAAGCACACCCACACTCTGCACACACAGCAAGCACACAGAGACCTCTGCACACACAGCAAGTACACAGAGATCCTCTCCAAAGCAAGATGGGGCTGAGAACTGAAAAATCTCATCTCCAGACAGTGGTGGTGCACACCTTTAGTCCTAGCACTCAGGAGGCAGGGGCAGGTGGATCTCTGTGAGTTCAAGGTCAGCCTGGTCTACAGAATGAATTATAGGACAGCCATGCCTACACAGAGAAACCCTGTCTCAAAATAAAACAAAACAAAATAAAATAAATCTAGTCTCTTCTCAATGGCTAGGTTTCCCCCCCCCCCTTTGGTGAGTCTTTCTTCCCTGATTTAGGGATGGTGACTGACTGGTCCACAATTGTTACATAAATACGTACGGATTCTGTTGAACTTCTAGGCTGGTCCATCAGCAAAGGACCCAAATTTTGGAAGAAAATAACTAAACAAATAAATAAAGCCCTCCAGGCTTTTTTTTTTAAGCTGCCAGGCTTTTGTCTCAGATCAGGGGGGTGAGGAAGAAGCCGGTCATCTTGGAAGTTTGCCACCTTTATTCCCTAGATGGCCTTCTTTCTATCTTCCTGCCAGACAGACAGTGTCTTAGTGTCTTAGCATCCCCAGACAGACGGAAGGTGACTGAGCATCAGCATAACCTCGATGGAGTCCCCACTGTTGCACAACCGCAGCAAAACATTTTATAAATAGGATAGAGGGAGCAGGAAGCAGAAAGCCTGGTATATTAGATGACAGTCAAGAACTTCTGTTCCTTTTGTGGGGGGAGGCAAGCCACAAAGAAATTACCAACACTTGAGGAACCCAGAATATATAAAGAGTTCCGATGAGCCAATGGCTTTGGGAGAAGGAGCTAGAGAGATTTCTTAACAGGCTCAGCAGTTAGGAAAGAGTGCTTGTTATTCTTTTACAGCTGTGATTGTCAACCTGTGGGTCACGACCCCTTTGGCAAACCTCTATCTCCAAAAAAAAAAAATTATTTACATTATGATTCATAACAGTAGCAAAATTACAGTTATGAAGTAGCAACAACAATAATTTTATGGTCTGGGGTTACCACAACATGAGGACCTGTATTAAAAAAGTAGCAACTTTAGGGAGGTTGAGAACCACTGGTCTAGAAGACCTGAGTTCAGTTCCCAGAACGTAGCCCTGCTACCGCTCACGACTCCAGTTCTAGGAGGTCCAGCACCCTCTTCTGACCATCAGACCATGTGTGTCCTTCACACACACACACACATACACACACACACACACACACACACACACACACACACACCTAAAATGCAACACCATTTTAAAAGAAAAAAAACATTGGCCAAAAGGCTAGTCAGGTACTTTATAAAGACAAGTAATAAACACATTAAAAGTGGTCAATACCACAGTCACCAAAAAAATTATAAATTGAAACCACAATGTGAAGCCACTGTACACAATCAGAACGACACAATGAAAAACACACAAGAGAGCTGCCCTTGAGGAAATTAAAGACGTGTTGCCATAAATTTTTGACAAAGATAAAACATAAGAGCCTGAAATTTTTCTTGAGACATTGTACCCAAAACTGGTCCAATCTAGAGTGCTAGGGGTACGTATGATCTTCATGTAATGTTTTAATTATACTGACTTGATTGGACCTAGTAGGTCCTTAGAGCTGATACGTTCACTCATATAAAGTCTCACATACACTCTCAGAGAGAAAGGGAGACAGACAGACAGACAGCATTCTGGCACCCGCACAAAAGAAGACCTTGGAATCCCCAGCCCTCCTGCTCCGTGCCATGTTTACCTGTGTGGATTTCCAATTGTACAGGGTCGCTTGGCATTGAGAGACCGGTCTGGCATCTGTATTCACCACTGTCCTTGAAAGTGGCCTCAGTGATCCTGTAACTAGGCGTGGAGACCTGAAGGACTGTGTTGTTCAGAAGCCACTGTGTGGAACTGCCTCCAGGCGGGTGGGGCCCCTCACACCATAAAGTGACATTTTCCTCCTGGAAAATACTGACCCACGGAGGCTGCAAGGTGATCACAGCCTTCCTGTCACTGACTGTAGGGAAAAGAAGAAGAATGGAGAAAACCCTAAGTGGAGCTAACGCAAGGACTGTGAGGGATTGGGAAAGTATCGCTTGCACAAGGCGAAACTGTATGTAAGTCAGTTTGAAAAACTTAGCAAGTGGAAACCCAGGAAGCCAGCCGGTCCGTAAGTGTCCCGCTCTGCTATGGGAGCCTTCTGAGTTGTTTGATCCCAGTACAGGTGTTAGGATTTGGTAGCTAATGATGAAATCACTGGTGTTTAAGAAAGTGGGGTTTTAAACCAGAGCAAACTGCCTTGAACCAGATTCCCTACACTCAGTGCTAGGCTGTCTTTGGGGGGAAACTGAGGCTCAAGCCTGTGAAGCCTTTCTGTCTGAGAAGAACCACCTATCTCTGCTTTCTTATAAAAGAGACAAGTTGAGGGGGGGGAGGGCTAGAAAAACCAGCCGGACAGGTCTGCTTCTGGGTTCCCACAATTATCTGCTTTTCTGAGCTCACTAGGCCAATAGGTTCTCTACCTGTGGGCCACGACCCCTTTGGAGGTCAAAATGACCTTTTCACAGGAGTTGCCTAAGACCATCGGAGAACACAGATGTTTACATTACAGTTCATAACAGTAGCAAAGTTACAGTTATGAAGTAGCAATGACAATAATGTTATGGTTGGGGGTCACCAAACATGAGGAACTATATTAAACGGTCGCAGCTTCAGGAAGGTTGAGAACCACTGATCTAGGGATTTAGTTCAGCAGCCAGGGCTCACTCAGAAAACCTTTTGTAGAAAACTCCCTCTAAATACAGAGACGGTCACTAAGAAATCTTTCTCTTGCCTGTCTTCCCCCTGTGCTCCTCCCTCCAGGTTAATGGAAGCCACCCTTTGAAAGCAGGGAAGCAGCAGATGAGAAACTGATGGAGAGCCCACTCACCCACTTGTCCACCGCCTGGAACTGCAAGAGACCAGAGACACAGATGTCAGTTGGGGACTAGAAGATGCTGGTGACGAAGGGAGAATTGGGAAGAGCTCACGATGACTTGGAGGACCCAGCTGAAGTCTCTTGAGAGACTCTCCATCCCTCTCTTCCCAGATCAAGTACCAACAGAAGGGATGGGTATTCATGATACCCTCTTTATTCTGATGGAGGCTTGCAGGCTTAATGCCACCAGAGAGTCCCCTTCCCATCCTTTGGAAATAAGCACCAATAAATGATTGGATCTTTGATATAGCCGTCTTTAGACTTTGAGTTCTTAGGCTAACCAAACAATGACGCAACATCTTGATTGCCATGGCCAGAGCCAACTCCCCCAACAAGCCTCCCTGAGCCTAACTTACCCCAAAGGAGCAGGGTCGTTAGAAGCCACATGTCACCTCCAAGCTGGTAAAAAATCTGCACTGTGAAAGACATTGAAGAGACTCTAGTAAAGGCTAGGAACCAAGATTAGAAAAGAGGAAGGAAATGACCACTTCTGCCCCATTTGCATTATGGTTGTGTTCCTTTTTCTGGGAAATACATCCTTAATTCTTTCCTCCTCTATAACAGGGTCTTCTGTAGCCCAGGTTATCCTCAGATTTACTATATTGCTAAGGATGACCTTGACTCCTGATCCTCCTGCCTCCACCTCCCAAGTGCTAGGATTATTATAGCCTTGTACCACCATGCCTAGCTGCATGCCCCTCCCACCTCTCTCTCCAGGGTGATGCTGTAGCCCTGACAGCCTGAGGCTCACTTGTGGACCAGGCTGGCCTTGGCTATCCAGAGCTCCACCTACCTTTGCCTCCCACGTGGTAAGACTGGAAATGTGGATCCCTGTTCCTGCTTTCCATCCCTGATGTTTAGAGCCTTTCTTCTCCATTCTCAAAGCCCATAGCCCATCTCTCTCCGTTTAAACTCTGTCTTTAGTTTGTTTGCTCATTTTGTTTTGTGGATGCTGAGTCTGCTGGAAAGGCTCGAGTTTTAGTGGTGGTACTCCCTTCCAACTATTTTCTCCCTCTACTGTTTATATTTCTTAAGGAACAGTTATGACAAAACTCTATTTTAAGATTGGTTCACAGATTGGGTAATTTTTTTATTTGGATCCAGAAACTTCTTACATCAGCCTCTCTGAGAGTTATGAAAAGAGTCCCCCTAGCACAAACTGGCCTCTGTTCCTTGAGACACATAGGAAGAACCAATCATCCATAGCAGTAAAAAGTGAAGTCAGTAATATATAAGCCATCGTCCTGAAAGACACTATGGATTTATAAAACGTAGGTTAAATCCAAGGAGATGAAATGCTTACTATAAATATTACAGAGACAGTTAACTTAGGCCGGTAGACAAGAACATCCTAGGAAAGGAGGTTCAAGGTTCAAGTTAGCAGCTCTGTGCCCTCAGTCAGAGTGGGGTCCTTAAAGAGCTGTGAAGATTTAATGATTCCAGGGATTCTGTTAGGAGAGAAAGACAGTTAAACAGAAAGAAGGGTGGTTCAATGAATACAGTGGTTACTTATAGATAGAAGTTGCTGTCCTGCCTGGTCCCGCAGCTGTTCAGTCCCAAAGAAACACACAGAGGCTTTTATTAATTATAAACTATTTGGCCTGTTAGCTCAGGCTTATTATTAGCTAGCTCTTGCAACTTAAATTAACCCATAATTCTCACCTATGTTTAGCCACAGCTTGGTACCTATTCTCAGTGAGGCATTCTCATCTTACTTCCTCTGCATCTGGCTGGTGACTGTGCCTCTGCCTTTCGTCTTCCCAGAATTCTTCTAGTCTTGCTGCCCTGCCTGTACTTCCTGCCTGGCTACTGGCCAATCAGCATCTTATTAAGCCAATCTGAGTGACAAATATTTACAGTCTCACAGAAGGGACTTGACTAGCAGTCTCACTAGCAGTGGGTCACCCCATTGTTCTACAGCATCAGGAACAGCTAAAGATGCCGTCTTGACTCTCCACTGTGGCTCATACACTTGGTTTCCATTGGCCATGAAGCCATCTGCACTAATAGTGCACTACTCTGAAACAGAGCTTGCCATGAGAAGAAATGAATGCTCCCTGTTGTGGTTCGCTGAGATTCCAAGACTGCTTCAGTGAGGTAGCTGGCTGACACACAGGAATGCAGAGACTCCAGAAAGAGCTCTAGGTATCCTGAGAGATACAGGCAAGCCTCAACTCACTAAGATTCCATCAAATACCATTTTCATAATCCTCACACTATTTTCCTTCTATGGTTTTCTGCTGCATGGATGCACCATCATTTGAATTCATCAACTTCTCCTCAAGCACATGCAGGTAATTTCTAACCATTGTTGTAATAAGAGCGGCGGGGCTGCGTCCCCAGCACCCTGGCCGCCTGCTAGCTTATGCCCGAAATAACAACACACAAACTGTATTCATCTAAACACTGCTTGGCCCATTTCTTTTTTTTTTTTTTTT